CGTCACGAAAGCACGTTCTAAAGCACGAAGATGCGACTGAAGACATGCGAGTTCTTGAAGAGTAATATTCTGCGTGTGGTGTTCGTACGAAACATGTTTAGTGAATCGGAACCACCCTGAGAAAACGTCTGAATTCTGCACAGCTTCCTGCTCTGTGACTGCGACGATCCGTTCAGATCGTATTTCAAATTTCGCCGCAAGTGCATCCAAGTGCGATTTGATCAAGTGATGACGATCCGCTGAACTTTGCAAATTGATCCAATATATAGCTAGCGGACGTGATACGTTGGTCGGTTCGTATAAGTCGTCCATGTTCCTGATTTTATGAAGAAATTTTGTGTGTTCTAGCTGAGGCACGCTTCTCTGCAACACGTCCGCTAAGATCGGCAGTATCGTAGGATACCTCGACATCACGAAATCTACACACGCCGTTTCCGCATCAGAAGCATGAAAATATGTCGCGGGCGAAGAGGATCGTTTCAATTCCTGTCGATGAAATGATCCGAAGAAGTGTTCATCCAGATCTGGAACAATTGGGCACTCAACTGTTGAAAGGTACTGGCCTCTCTTATGATGAAAGTACTGCCTCAAAGTTCGTCGCGTACCGATCATGCTGATGCCAGTTGCAGTAACGCCTTCACACAGGGCAATCATGTTGCCAACATAGACGGAATCGTTCGTAACGTGAGCGAACCGCGGTATGTATATCAGATCTTCATCTGCATAACGCTGGAAATTCTGCAAAAGTTTTGACTCGAGGGCGCTACTTGTGAAGAGGATATTTCGTGCGTCAAAAACAAATACAACATCGTTAGATCGAGCCAACGCGTATGTGGAATCGTCCAGAGACCGCGCCATGGACTCGAAGAGGTGTTGGAAGTCAGGTTCTGAGTGGACCGTCATATACTTCACTTTGACGTTCATCAGACGCGCTGAGACGAGCCCGGTACACTGGCTGTTTGGGGGTCCCGTAAGCACACCGATGAATTGGATACCCACTCCGGTCTTAGATTGTCTTGATGACGTTGACACAATTAATAACATACCGAACCATATCAGTGCACGCAGGCGCATTTTGATGAGCTGTACAAACTTTCTTTCATGAAAACCACGTCGAAACCGTCGCGCGAACCTGGACGAGCGATTTGCTTCAGAGACTCGGCACATCTCTCTACTTTGAACGCTACCTCGACTCTCAGCCTACCCAGTTTACTCAGAGCTCATGCACGAGCTCATGCACGTACCTTGCTGGGTGTGGAGAAGACTCGGTCGAGAACTTAGCTTCCCACAATTTGACTCGACGAGACCCAGAGGCCCCTAGAATTCTTCACTACCCTTGTCTTGAAGACTTCGAACGGGCGATCGGTCACTCGTGTCGGCTCACTTGCTTGAATATAGGGTATTCAAGAAGGAGCTCACGCCCGTCTAGTCTTGTCAGCGTTCACTTCTTGACGTTTGCTTCAAGTAATATCGACCTCACATTCCTGCGTCAAGAGGCTGAGCTGCACATGTTATAGTGAAATACAGTGATGATAAGTACATTGTGTCACTGTTCTTGATACAAATAGGCGAAATATGTGGACACTTCCCAGATGAATAAGTCACACACTTTATACTGTTTAACCATACGAGGCATTTATGAAGTGTTTTTTGACAGCCTCAGGCTGAAAAAGAGATTGCTAAAACTCTATAATTTTGGGGCCATTTTTTAGCTTGCTTGAAAAAGTGAAAAAGAGATTGCTAAAATAAGAACAGAAGACTATCGGCGCTCGACGGTGGACGCGCGCGAGAAACGGCGCGCTCGCTCGCGCGATGGAAGCCGCGGACCATGCGCGTCTAACGACGTCCAGGGTTTGGCGTAGAACATCGCGGTGTGCACGACGTGGTGGGTTGAAGTTCATATGATTAAACAGTGTGCATGCGCGCGGTTGGTTGGCCTAGGCATTTAAGACTGACCCCACAGCTTTTTTGAGGCGGGTTAGGGTTTAGATAGGGTTTAGTGTCGGCGATGTCCGCGAGTGCGGTCAGAGGCACGTGGTCGTGCACATCGTCTCCCGTCGCGTCGGACTGCGATTCGAATGCGTCCGGCGCTTCGGCGCGCTCCGCACTCGGCGTTTGCATGGCGACGAATGCCGGTTCGGCTCGCGGTCCAACGGATCTCTTTTTCACCCGCTATTTTCTAAAATTGACTCGTCGTCGCGACGAGTCACGAGCCCCTTTTTCTCTAAAAATTATACTAACGTTAGTAGAATTATAGAGATTGCCAATTGAATTTTAGAGTCGGAAAATCTCCAAAACTCTAAAAAATTCTCTAAAATTTGCCAAAATTTTAGAGTTTTAGCAATCTCTTTTTCAGCCTAAGTGTTTTTTGAGTCGTCGATGTCCGCCCATGGGCAAACAGTACGTATCCGCTACGTTCTACCATGGGCATCCCACGTTCTACCCATAGGTGCCCTACGTTCTACCCATAGGTGCTCTACGTCTCATGCTAAGTGGTCCACCCCCAGTATCACGACCCACTCGTCGTGATACCACCAAGCTAGTCAGGGAGCCGACCCCTCACTCTCGAGCACATGCCCGAAACCGAGAACGACGATTCCGGAGTCACAATTGACGCCGACACCGTCCTCGATGTGCGAGTGTCTCAGAGCGTGAATATCGCGCGAGCGGTCATCCTATCTATCGCCTGGGCGTGCACCAGCTCCGCGCTGATCTTTCTCAACAACCACCTCCTTCGCGAGCACGGCTTCTCGTATCCGATGATCCTGTGCTCGATGGGCATGACATCCTCTTGGTTGATCTCATTCCTATGCATCACCACTGGGCGGGTGAAGCGGAAACACGCTGGGTTGATTACGCGCGGGTGGTACGCGAGACACATTCTTCCGATCGGTTGCCTCGGCGCGGCGTCGCTGGGATTCGGAAACTATGTGTACCTGTACCTAAGTGTGAGCTTCATTCAGATGTTGAAAAGCGCGGTGCCGGCGGTGACGATGGCGGTGATGTACGCGGCGGGATTGGAACGACTGCACGGGACGACGCTCACGGGCGTGGCGGTGGTGACGATTGGGACGTTCATAGCGGCGTACGGAGAGGTCAAGTGCAGCGCGATCGGGGTGTTGATGATGCTGACGAGCGCGTTTGCAGAGGCTATTAGAACGGCGTTTTATCAGTACGTTTTGGGAAATTTGAAGTTTGATTTGATGGAGGGGCTCTACGTGACGGCGCCGGCGTCACTGGCGTTTCTCGGTTTGGGCATCGTAACGCTCGAGTTGATTCAGTTCGTGCGAGAGAGGGGATGGGAGATCATCGCCGCGGCGCCGCACTATTTCTTAGTCGCGGCATTCATGGGTTTCGGGGCGAATATTCTCACGCTCGGGGTGATCAAGGCGACGAGCGGGTTGACGTACAAAGTTATGGGTCAGGCAAAGAACGCAGCGGTGATACTCCTCGCGGTGATTCTATTCGGTAATCCCGTGACAGCCGTTCAGCTCATCGGGTACGCCATGTCGTTGTTTGGGTTCTTCATCTACCAGCGGGGGAAGATGCAGCAAGACGCTGAAGAGGCGGAAAAGGAAAATTAGTTTTGCAGCTGGATGCACCTGGAAATCGTTCGAGCGGTCACGAGAACGCTCAAGACACAAGGAAAGCGCAACTCATGAACACATTACATCTTCACTGGTATGACCCGTTTCGTATTACATAATGTTACGCCCACGCAGACGGCGGCCAGTCGCCTGACGGTGAGTACGGGGATCGAGAGTAGACACTGTTCCAAGCCGTTGCGTTGTTGAACATGTTAGTCTAGTCTGTAACCGCGGAACTCTCACCGTGAATTAACTCAAAGACGGTTACGTGTGGCACGGATCAGTTGAATACATGAAATACATCCGCAATTAGTTGCCTCGTCCGTGAGAGTGATGCCGTACGCTACTCCTCGTACTGCGGCCATCTCGTGCACGAAGTTCACGTCTTGCAGCAAGGCGACCGGGGTTGCGACGAGCCGCGGCGACGAGGCGAAGGTGCAACTCAGCTATGAAAAAAAGGCCGTTGATGTTGGAATTCACAGCGACTGTAATCCATGATTCAGGAATTAATACTGTCAGTCGAGACATCTGGTGATGGAAACGTGCCGATACTGCTTCATGTAGTTCAAAAAAGCGCTATCAAAGCGTCGCAAGCCGCCAATTCGTTTCCTAAATGCTTTAGAAAAATCAAACCACTCTGGAAAGTTGTCGCCGTATGCCTTTAGAGGCGCTTGTTCCATGCGAGAAATGCTGCCCTTATCATTGATAGCATCGACCGACTGCCCTTCTATTTGCCTTTCATCCAGATGCTCAACGACAAGTGACGTCAACATACATGGGACTCGATATGTTTCCGTAACACGTTTGATCCACTCTTGAGCTGCTCCGCACCACATTATATCCGGGCCGAAATCAGATGATAACCTGGTTTGACTGAGTCCATAGGATGGATGAAAGTACTTCTCATCTAATACGATGCTAAAATACCAGTGAGCAAACGAAGTATCCATGAAAACACAGAACATTTCAATAAATGGTACTTCAAAAGCGTTGTCATCAATTTTATACTCCCAACCTCCACCAGAGAACGCAGCAAACCACTGGCGCGGTGTAAGTCTATGATTTGTCAGAAGACCGTCTCGCTTCGATCTACGTAGAGGGGCTGAAATCACCACACCCGAAGTTAGATCGAAAAAATCACGTTCAGGAAACCCCACTAAGCTTATATCACTGTCCACAATCAGCACTTTCTCGAACAATCGCATGAAGGGAACTTCGTTTCGTATGAACCAGAACTTATTATATCGTCCGGCGTGTACTTTGAAAACTAATTTGACGAGATCTGCTCTGCGAGTATCAGCGAATCTTCGTGCAAGCATCTGTAGCTTTGATGACGAGTCCACAACTACGTACAAGCGACTCTCAACACGGAAGACACTCTTTTGCAGCCACATCGTGTTGGCAGTGATCCGAGCAACAATAGTCTTCAGCTCAGACACAACGTTGACGCGCACAGTCGAAACGATCAGTATGGAACGAGGAACGGCATCATTTATTTTCATGTGGCAATCCAACTTTGTACGATATGCAGCACTCACATCGACAGAACTTATGTGCGAGTCTTGTATCGACGACCCCATGTCACAACCACGGACAGCCTCGAACGTGGACGTATATGTCTCTGCGTGTATGAACAGGAACTCATCTGCAACTAGAACTCGATCCATTCCACTTCGCTGTGAAGGTTTCAGCATCTCACGCGCGGCACGTAGCACTTTTGAAAGCCCCTGACGATTAATAATATATGCACCAGTAGACCAGTGTTCCGGGAACCATTTGATGTAGTAAGTTTGTCGCAGTTTGCGGAAATACCGAATTACCTTTTCATTCAAAGTGTACAGTTGTAAGATATTCCAGTCACTGGGTGCGCGTTGCACGTAACGGTTGAAGTTATGCATAAAATCTTCACGTAGCAGCACATCATCCTCCATTATGATAGCAATATCATCGCCGTTCACGAAAGCACGTTCTAAAGCACGAAGATGCGACTGAAGACATGCGAGTTCTTTGAAAGAGTAAATATTCTGCGTGTGGTGTTCGTACGAAACATGTTTAGTGAATCGGAACCACCCTGAGAAAACGTCTGAATTCTGCACAGCTTCCTGCTCTGTGACTGCGACGATCCGTTCAGATCGTATTTCAAATTTCGCCGCAAGTGCATCCAAGTGCGATTTGATCAAGTGATGACGATCCGCTGAACTTTGCAAATTGATCCAATATATAGCTAGCGGACGTGATACGTTGGTCGGTTCGTATAAGTCGTCCATGTTCCTGATTTTATGAAGAAATTTTGTGTGTTCTAGCTGAGGCACGCTTCTCTGCAACACGTCCGCTAAGATCGGCAGTATCGTAGGATACCTCGACATCACGAAATCTACACACGCCGTTTCCGCATCAGAAGCATGAAAATATGTCGCGGGCGAAGAGGATCGTTTCAATTCCTGTCGATGAAATGATCCGAAGAAGTGTTCATCCAGATCTGGAACAATTGGGCA